TCTCTCTCTCTCACTCTCTCTACCCTAACCTCATACCGACACAGCCCCCCTCCCCACCCACCCTCACCCCCTTAAAAAAACCCCTCTCGGACACGGTACGTTGGTTTCTGCATTTGTCCCTAGACTGCCCCCCACACAAATTCTATCAATCACCCTCAGCGCCATTCAGCTCGAATCTTTGCATTCTACGGCTTAAAAAAGCGTCCGGCAGGAAGGAAAGCTCTGGGTATGAATGGTACCATTATTGCCCCGCGTCATCCCCAGGCCCGATGGAGAAATGGACACCGGCGCTTGATTGACAAGCAAACTAGAATGATTGATGGTCGCTCCCCTGGCGCGGGTAATCAGGCGAGGGGCGGGGCCTCTCCGCCGAGCGGGCCGTTCATTGGACGAAGCGCGTGTGAACTCCGGTGAACGGGGGCCAGGCGATGCGAGCGCTTGGACGTTTTGTTAGCGGCGGCAACAACAGCGGCAGGCAGTTTAGTGCTGTGATCGTGACTCCAGCACAAGGCGGCACAAACGTGTGTGTGTGTCTGCTGTAGTCTGTGTGCGCGCGCGCGAACGCTGGTTCTAGCAGAAGAAGCAGCAGCAGTTGTAGCATAGCATAGCATAGCGGCAAGCCAGCCAGCAGTGGCACAGTTTTGTTGTAGAAGAATCGACAGAGCCCACTGCAGTTTTCTAGTACACACATACACACACCACTCCACACAGCTATTGTAAATTCTCGACGAGTCGTGTACGCGAGCCGTGCTTGCTTTTCTGGACTTGGATTTTGTGTGTGTTGTGTTGTTCACCCCATTTGCTCCTGGATATTGTTGTTTCTGTTTCTGTGACGCAATAAACGTGGGAACTGCCTGAAGTAAGTTTGACTCACACGAGAACCCGATGTGTTAACTAAGCACGTGAGTCGAGAGTTGTTCACATAACCGTAGAGTACCGTAGAGACTGACTAACTCAGGATTCCTCACTCATCTGTTTCTATCGCAAATCTCCGTCCTCTGTGTGGTAGATTCTATCCTTCTCCCTTTTTATTATAGATCTAGATTAGTTATTGATCTAGCGGTTTTTTTCTGTATTATGTTTATGAGAAAGTTCAGGGTAAACATAGAGCTAGGCTATATCACAAATTCACCGCTACGGCTACTGTGTCCCTTCAGAACTATTGTGTCCAAAGTGTAGGCTACTCAATAGTTAAGTACATTTGGACAAAATGGTTCTGAAGCAAGAACAAGTCTGGAACTGACTAAACCTTTAGAAAGCGGCATCATAATACTCGTCCTTTCCAGAGCAGCGCTTGTCTTCCTTTGAGACGTTTGTTTACAGAGTCAGAACAAGAACCCGAAACGAGCAGGAAAAGCTAACACTTTGTACCCGAACTATTTTTCCAAACTTCTTCAACATTCTCACTTGTTCAGTGTGCAGTTCTCTTTTGATTTCAAGTAGTTTCAGTATTGTCTGACTTAATCCACCCCCATCTCACTTTCTCCCAACCTACTAATTCTAGACAATAATAATATAGATTTATCATAATTGATATTACTAAAAATCCACCCCCATCCCACTTTCTCCCCACCTACTAATTCTAGATAATAATAATATAGATTTATCATAATTGATATTACTATATCTAGATCTAGGTCTAAGATTTCGTTATTATTAAACGAAAGAATTATAACAGTGACACAAATAAATAATACAATGAACACGGCAACTGCTGTTTAAGTTTGAACCAGCGTGATCTGATCGTTAATTG